TAACTATAATCGAAATGTCGATACCTTTTAGTTACTTTAACTGACAGAAATCGTTTTACTTTTATAAGTAGACCTATATAATAGTCCTAAACATCAATTGGAGGATTCAAGTAAATAATATCAAGTGAATTTGAACTTCACTCCATTGTACAAGCAAGTGGCTACCAAGACTCAATAGCTAAGTAGATAATGTGGTGGTGTTTAGAGTGAATGGTACTAGGTTCGAGTCCCAGAGTGAACATCAACTGTGCGATGCAGGTACATTCAGCTGACGTTTCCTAAATGGGATGAAATGTCGCGCGTCCTGGATTCCACTGCTAGCCACTATCTATCTTTGCTTATAAAGCCTGTGACTTCGGGCAAAATCGAGGCAGTCCGCACATATGCCAACATGAGACTGATCAATTGTAGTCCTAAATAACAAATTCGAAGATTCTAGTAAATAATATCAAGTAAATAATCATTAAAGTTTACATAATGTATTAAACAGTTGTTTCGTCCTAATATTATTAATTATCACACCCAATGAACAAGTTGGTGGATTTTTATGAACTCGTTAGATAAGTGGATAATATGCTGAGGTAACCGGGGGGGGGTATTGAGATTCAAGATCAAATGTCAGGATCAACAGCGCAATACAGGTACATCCAGCTATGATATATCTCTGATATAACTAAACAAATCTTGTATTTCAATGCTAGCTTTTCATCAAACAAAAATGTACACTTAATTATTATTCTGTTTTGAATTTCATTATATGATAAACATTATTATCGCACATTGATGAATGTAGCTAAGCAGCTACTTACTTACTTACGCCTGGTAGAGAAGCATAGACAGCCCACCACTACTCTCCATTCAACCCTGTCCTGCGAAGTCCTTTCCAGGTTTTTCCAGTTGTTATTCATCCTTTTCATATCTTCTGTTTCCCGACGTAATGTGTTCTTTGACCCTCCTCTTTTCTGCTTCCCTTCAGGATTACAAGTTAGGGTTTGCCTCGTGATGCAGTTTGGTGGTTTCCGCTATTCATATCCTATCCACTTCCTCTTCAGTTGGAAGCTGGTTTGTTCTATCCAACAGTAGGCTGTTGCTGATGGTATCCGGCCAATGGATGTTGAGTATATTGTGTAGACAACTATTTATAAATACTTGTACCTTTTTGATGATGGTTGTAATAGTTCTCCGAATTTTAGCTCCGTACAGTAGAACTGTTTTGACGTTCGTATTGAAGATTCTGACCTTGATATTGATTGACAGTTGTTCTGAGTTCCATATGTCCTTCAACTGTAGGAGTGCTGTAATTGTCTTTCCAATCCTCTCTTTCGCTTCTGCAGCAGATGCTTCTTTTTTATCGATGATGCTTCCCAGATATGTGAATGATTTCACCCCTCCTGAGTTTCCCCAACAAGTGTGATTGTGTTGGTGTTCACTGTGTTATATTTGAGGATGTTGCCTTTTCCCTTGTGTATGTTCAAGTCTACTGATGCAGAGGCTTCTTCTACACTGGTTGTCTTGACTTGCATTTGTTAGTGTGTATGGGTTAGAAGAACTAGGTAATCTGCGAAGTCCAGATCTTCTAAATGATTCCGAGTTGTGCATTGTATTTCATGCTTTTCCTCAGATGTCGAGATCTTCATAATCCAGCAAGCACCAGGAGAAAAAGGGAGTGGGAGAGTAGACAGCCTTGTCTGACTCCGACCCTTACTTGGAATGCATCAGTCAGCTGTCCTCCATGCCCGACTTTGCACTGTAGTCCGTTGTATGAGTTCCGGATAATGTTGACAATCTTCTCAGGAACTTCATAGTGTTGAAGAGGTTTCTATAATGTTCTCCTCTATATACTGTCAAGCGCCTCTTCGTAGTCAATGAAGTTGATGTATATTGACGAGTTCCACTTACCTGATTGTTCGACGATGATCCGTAGTGTCGCAATTTGGTCTGTGCGCGACCGATCCTTACGGAATCCAGCATGTTGATCTCGAAGTTGGGCGTCTACTGCATCTTTCAGTATGATTAACTATATGGCAACCAATTTTTTGTGCAAATATAATGTTGTTCTGTGTAATATATGACAGTTTTGATATTGATGTGAGTAGAGGTTATACTATTATAACTTTGAATTCTTTAAAATGAATCAACCATTTACATAGTTTATTATAATTTCTAGTAATCTCTTAACTGAAACCAATTCTACAAAAGGTTTATATTTCTATAAGATCTTTAACTAATAATTAATATACAATTCAATAGATTTATTTGTTTATCATGGACTTTCTTCAAAATTAAACAAACATAAACTTTGCATGAACTAAATTTCGACATTAGATGATCAAAGATAGTAAGCTAGAATACCTGCTTAACCTGAGATACAAGCTAGTTGGAACTTAGTGGAAAAGTGTTTCTGAGATCTTGAAGCACTGAAGCTCCCTGTTGAGTTCAAAACCACTTCTCTCAGCTCAGCGGTCTAAGGAGTTACCACAGAGCTATAAGGACCTTGACTGATCTTCCTGCAAATACCCTCGTATAGCCGAGGGTGGAGAGAGTCAGCTCTCCCATTCCAAATGCTTTCATATGGTCACGTGCATACAGCCACTACCAGGGAAGTCCTACTCACTGCCTTTTAATGGCATAGGTGTTGTTTATGAAATTAAGAGGATAAAAAGCGAATGTTCGGCGCTTTAACCGGGTTGATGGACACAAGGAGTTCACCTATGGGAGTTGAAAAACCCTGATACCAAATCAGTGGTGCATATGGGATACAGTATTCTGAAGGAACGAATGGCGTACGAGTCAATTATTGGTCGCAGGCTGCCATGTGACTGAATCTCCTTATGATGCTCCACTTCCTTATGGATCAGACCTTTAGGTTGAAAACTCCGGGTGTGTTCCCCTAAGAAAACCACCCGCTTCGGTTTGGGCACCCAGCAGTATCACAGGCCACACACAAATCAAGTGAACTCTGTGTCGCACATGCACTCGGTGACCTCTAGTACCAATATTTATGTGTTCAAATAAATAAATAGTTAATATCTTGCGTATTTGTATTTCATATAGAGAGATGGTTTCCTCAAAATACAAGACATTCCTTGTTGAAAAATACCATCTATCAGAAAATATAAATCTATGGTTTCTAATTGGCTACTTTTAAACAGCTAAGATCCCTACACAAATTATCGATTGAAATCTTAATTCAAAATCTATTATGTCATCAGGGAACAATAAAGATAAATCAGTAGAGGAAATTCTCTTTCTGACAATTTCATTTATTTAAGTTTTATAGTCGTATTTATAGTTGATTTATTTATTAAAAATAGAAGTGTGTTGTATATTGTGATATTGTGTTATAAATCGCTTGAACAAAACCCAATCATTCGAATGATGTTGTGCAATAATTCAACAGTTAATATGAAATATTAAGATGAAGATAATTGTCTACTTGAGCAATAATAAGTAGAAAATTGTTAATTTTAATAGTTGAGATCATGAGTCAATTGAAGCTGAACCACCATGGAAAGCGTGAAAACATTGGACGGCTGATTCGTCCTACTTTGGGACTCTTCAACAGTGCGCATCCACGATCCTGCATTACGAGATTGCAAATCAGGACTTACGGGTCTCGCGTGCGAACGCTTAACCACTAGACCAGTGAGCCGACCGGAATCCAATGGTACTAATGTATAACTTCAACCAATTCACGATGTTGCGCCACCGTCCACCATTGTCTTCAGTGAGTTACTATCTGGTCACTGCTTCTCACTCGAACTCCAGGAAATACCTACTGAAGACAGTCACTAATGAGCATATGTTGATTAGTATCAGAAGGGTGATAATATCTAGCAAATAGCTGTGAGAAAATAATTACAAAGGAATAGAAAAAAAGAAGATAGATTATGGGAGATAAAAAAAAGATTTACACCATGCAATCATGAGAGATTATGTATATTGTTTTCATACATTAAGTTTCAGGTTTGATTGGTGGGAATAGCTAAACCATCTGGTGTACACAAGCTTTTAAGTTGTATTCCTTTTGAAATTGGTGAAACAGAGAAATGACTACATGTTCCAGGATTGAACCTTAGACTGAATTTTGTAGTTTTTTATATAGTTAGGAAGGGTTGTGTTAGGAGATACACTTCGAAAGAGTTCGCTTTGTGATGCCAATATAACCTCCTCCATATCAGAAGGTAAACTAATAGATGTAAATTGATTCTGCTCATAGTAGGAATATGTTATTCAAGCAACTACGAATCAATGGCTAACTTGAGAAGACAATATGAAGTTTAAAATGAAAAGAATGTTTTTCTCAGAAACTTCGAAAGTTTACTTCTCAGAATCTCTGTTTTAATATCCCTTTTAAACTTATTGCTTATAAAGAGAGTCTGTTTTGATGCCGGAGGTGGTTTCGCGTTGTTGTTGTTGTTTAGATTTGAGACTTTTCTTAATGAATCTAGGTGGATATCTATTGTTGTTCAATGTCTTCCTTAGTTTATTAAGTTCAACATTGATTGTATCCTTAGTACAGATTAGTCTAGGGAATAGATCAGGTTTCTCTGTTACTTCAGTCGGATGCAGTTTTAAAACTTTATGTACTGACCGTACTAAGTTGTTTGTAGAGAACTATCAAGTCTCCATTTTAACATGACATTTGGGAAGTGGAATTGTGAATCTGACACTGATTCTATTATGAGCTCAACTGGTTGACAACAGTTATTGAACTTGTCCTGGATATCGCTGATATTAATATTTTTGACACAGATGATGAAAGTATCCAAATATTTGTCATATAGGAAGAAAATGTCAGTTGTTGGTCCATGTATAGTAGGCATTTATTCATATGCAATATATATTGTAGTTAGGAAGAAATCGTGAGGTCAGCTCTAACTTGGAATGTCCAAGGCGAAAGTAAAAGAGTAAGACCAATCTCAATAAATCAAGTAGTCGGACATACAAATATTACAAATATTGTTTTTCTCATCAAAACTTAATACCTAAATGTAAATTTAACTTAATCCATTGAAAAGTTTATTTAAGTAACACTGATATGAATCACTACTACTACTACTACTACTACTACTACTACTACTACTACTACTACTACTACTACTACTACTACTACTACTACTACTACTACTACTACTACTACTACTACTACTACTACTACTACTACTACTACTACTACTACTACTACTACTACTACTACTACTACTACTACTACTACTACTACTACTACTACTACTACTACTACTACTACTACTACTACTACTACTACTACTACTACTACTACTACTACTACTACTACTACTACTACTACTACTACTACTACTACTACTACTACTACTACTACTACTACTACTACTACTACTACTACTACTACTACTACTACTACTACTACTACTACTACTACTACTACTACTACTACTACTACTACTACTACTACTACTACTACTACTACTACTACTACTACTACTACTACTACTACTACTACTACTACTACTACTACTACTACTACTACTACTACTACTACTACTACTACTACTACTACTACTACTACTACTACTACTACTACTACTACTACTACTACTACTACTACTACTACTACTACTACTACTACTACTACTACTACTACTACTACTACTACTACTACTACTACTACTACTACTACTACTACTACTACTACTACTACTACTACTACTACTACTACTACTACTACTACTACTACTACTACTACTACTACTACTACTACTACTACTACTACTACTACTACTACTACTACTACTACTACTACTACTACTACTACTACTACTACTACTACTACTACTACTACTACTACTACTACTACTACTACTACTACTACTACTACTACTACTACTACTACTACTACTACTACTACTACTACTACTACTACTACTACTACTACTACTACTACTACTACTACTACTACTACTACTACTACTACTACTACTACTACTACTACTACTACTACTACTACTACTACTACTACTACTACTACTACTACTACTACTACTACTACTACTACTACTACTACTACTACTACTACTACTACTACTACTACTACTACTACTACTACTACTACTACTACTACTACTACTACTACTACTACTACTACTACTACTACTACTACTACTACTACTACTACTACTACTACTACTACTACTACTACTACTACTACTACTACTACTACTACTACTACTACTACTACTACTACTACTACTACTACTACTACTACTACTACTACTACTACTACTACTACTACTACTACTACTACTACTACTACTACTACTACTACTACTACTACTACTACTACTACTACTACTACTACTACTACTACTACTACTACTACTACTACTACTACTACTACTACTACTACTACTACTACTACTACTACTACTACTACTACTACTACTACTACTACTACTACTACTACTACTACTACTACTACTACTACTACTACTACTACTACTACTACTACTACTACTACTACTACTACTACTACTACTACTACTACTACTACTACTACTACTACTACTACTACTACTACTACTACTACTACTACTACTACTACTACTACTACTACTACTACTACTACTACTACTACTACTACTACTACTACTACTACTACTACTACTACTACTACTACTACTACTACTACTACTACTACTACTACTACTACTACTACTACTACTACTACTACTACTACTACTACTACTACTACTACTACTACTACTACTACTATACTACTATACTACTACTACTACTACTACTACTACTACTACTACTACTACTACTACTACTACTACTACTACTACTACTACTACTACTACTACTACTACTACTACTACTACTACTACTACTACTACTACTACTACTACTACTACTACTACTACTACTACTACTACTACTACTACTACTACTACTACTACTACTACTACTACTACTACTACTACTACTACTACTACTACTACTACTACTACTACTACTACTACTACTACTACTACTACTACTACTACTACTACTACTACTACTACTACTACTACTACTACTACTACTACTACTACTACTACTACTACTACTACTACTACTACTACTACTACTACTACTACTACTACTACTACTACTACTACTACTACTACTACTACTACTACTACTACTACTACTACTACTACTACTACTACTACTACTACTACTACTACTACTACTACTACTACTACTACTACTACTACTACTACTACTACTACTACTACTACTACTACTACTACTACTACTACTACTACTACTACTACTACTACTACTACTACTACTACTACTACTACTACTACTACTACTACTACTACTACTACTACTACTACTACTCTTACTTTGTCATGTGATCTGAATTTGATCTAGATATTGGATAAATATTGTTCAACACAGAAATTATAAATTTTCAATACATTTGTTTCGTTCTTCTTTTTCATTATTCACATTGAACATTCATTTCATTCAATTTTTTTTATTGAATCAATAATATTTATAGAGAAATTTAAATGATAATAGTAGGTATTATTTACCTGTTAATCTTACTTAGGTTTTTGATTTTATTGAATTCTATTCGAGCTAATCCATGTCAGGTGTCTACATCAGTACAATGGAAGATGGTCGAGCAATTTGGTGGTTTGGTTGAAGTTAGACATTAACACCGTTGGATGCTTACCGTCTCATTGGTCTAGATGCTAATCGTCCTCGCGTGAGATCGAAGTTCCTGGGTTCGAATCCTACGAGTGAGATTGTGGGTGCCCACTTCTGAGTAATCCCATACTAGAAGAAAACAGCCATTTAATACTTCCAGGTTTTTGATGATGACCTAACACTCATGGATTCATGATCTCAATCAAAAACTTACTAGTCTTCACAACTTCATACTGATATTTTAATTCAGCTTAACTACTTAGTAGGTTTCAGTATTTCATTGTAATAAAAAGTTTCTCACTAATTTTTTCTTCGTTTTTTTAATTAAGATCATTTCATGATTTATGGTAGTTCACTGGGAAAAGAGAATCAACTTTTTAGAGAGAAAAAAACAAAAACTAATCGTACATGAAAAACTAAAAAAATAATTTAATCATTAGGTTGTAAGAAAACAATCATATGGTGTTTAATCATTCTGTTTAGTTGATTGACTTAAATTCATAAATGATTTTCAATTATATCAAATGTTGATGGATATATCATCTGTTGAAATATATGTTATGATATGCCTCTAAATGGTCTGGTACAACTGAGAGTGGAGAGAGTCAACACTCCCTCTCCAAATGCTCTGACAAGTTCACGCATATACACCCACTTCCAAAGAAGTCCTATTCACTAATTTCTCATGGCACGGGTGTTTACGAAATTGAAAGGACGAAAAGTGAATGTCCGGCGATTTAATCGGGTTGGTAGATGTTGAGGATTCAACTAGGGGAGTTTGAAAACTTTAATTCCAAATCAATGGTGCACATTGGCTTCAGGATCCTGAAGGAACAAATGGCGTATAAACCAATCGTTGGTCAACGATTATCATTGCATTTCATCTCTTGATAATGCTCCACTGCACTGTGAATTAGACTTTTAGGTCAAAGGCTTGTAGTGTGATCCACTAAGAAAACCACTTGCCACAGTTTGGGCAACCGGGTAGTATCCTAGCCCTCGCACAAGTCGAATGATTTATGTGGCTCATATCTATTTGGTGCCTTTTTTGTACCTATGTTTATGTGTTTAAATAAATAACTAAAATTATACATTTGTTTATTAGTGCCTAATGTTGACTGATAGGTTTTCTGTAGCTCACTTGAAAGTTATAATTTTCAATGTCAACTATATTAACATTTACATAATAACATAACAATAGTTTTTAGTGAGAATTAATTCTAGTTGAAAGTATGAATTACTTTGTTGGATCTAATGTATGTTCATCAGTTTCAAGTTTAGATAAATATCATTAGTGACTCAGGATTTGACTCGAGACCGATCTTATGTATGATTGTCATTGAGATATACATATCGCCAATCTTGGTAATATAATCATCGACTTGAATCACGTTAGTGAATAACGGAATTAAAATAAGTCAAATACAAGAATGGATTTTCAAATATGTATAATTTCTACACTGATTGCTCTGGACAGACAATCAGAGGAATGAAGTGAAGAGAAAAGAGAGAAGCGAAATAATGCGCAATGGAGATGGCATGTGAGCAAACTCGATTTAATTTAGCATTAATCGATATTCATAGTCATACAAAAATAAGCTACAGACATGTGATAAGTAGGAAGATGCATGTATACACGTACGTTCATATAAAAATAGTCACGATTAATTAGCGAATAATTAACAAAGTCAAAATGTAGCTTGAGAAGAATGGATAAATTAGCTTGTCCGGAAGCTAGAATAAGTTATGTAGGCTCGACATAGGACCACCAGTCACTATATCTCTCTCTAGGACTGTTTGGTTTTCATCAGTTGTTTAGTTCAATTAGTCCATGATACTTACTATTTTCCAGCAAAAGCTTTTCCATACAATCTTGACTAGATTATTTTAAAAAACATAATAAACTGATCAAATGTTTTCCATATTTTAAGGTTTACCAACAATTTATGGATATCGTTTAATTAAAATCGCCTCAAGTGCCCTAGTACGGCTGAGAGTGAGGAGAGTTAGATCTCCCTCTTCAAATGCTCTCAGATGGCCACGTGCATTGCAACCACTGCCAAGAAAATCCTACTCACTACCTTCTTGAGGCGAGGGTGTTGCTTATGAAATTCGGAAGATGTGACGTGATTGTCCGGCGGTTTAAGCGGGTTGGTGGATATGGAGGATCCACGTAGGGGAGTTGGAAAACCCTTATTCCATATGAATGCATTTTTTTACGTGTGGTGTTAAGGCATTGGGAAATTATCTGACAAATGTCGCTGAAAATCATCTTACGAGTTATCGAATATTCAACTCATTAAAAAAACTGAAAGCAATTTGATTATGTTAACAGTTAAATGAATAGTTAAGTACATTAAATAGATATCAAAATAGAATGAAATAACTCTGAGAAGACTCTCTGTAGTTCTACTGTGAATTACTGAAACACACGTCATCATTGGCATTGGTTTGTAGTCATTCTGTAGCGTAAGTCGATAAAAGTTTGAAATGTGGACTAATATGCTTTACCTTAATGCTTCACTATGATAAATAAATATTGTAAGTTTAATTCTACTTATAGGACCATGAAGTCACACTACTTGTAAAAAGTCCCAAACATGACCAAAACATACCATTCAAGTTTTTAATGATCCTTTAGTCGTTGATGAAGACTAAATTTAAATACTGGTAAATCCTTATTACTCACCACTTCATCATATTCTCATCAATGATTAACTTTGAAGAGAATTTCCAGAATTTATTATTTTCTATAATTCTCTAGCTGATTACTATACCTGAATAAAATGTATTTGAAACCAAACAATCTTCATAAAATTTTTTACGCAATCAAATAAATGATTTTTGACAAATAAAAGAGTCAATTGAAGCTAGATCACCATGGAAAACCTGGAAGCGCTGGACGGCCGTTTCATCCTGGTATGGGACTCCTCAACAGTGAGCATCCATGATCCCGCCCCCCGCGAGATTCGAACACAGGACCTATCAGTCTCGCGCCAGGCACTTAATAAACTAGACTACTGTGCCGGCATCCAACGATGTTAATGTCTAATTTCAACCAATCCACGAAGTTGCGCCACCGTACACCATTATCTTCAGTGAGCTGATATCTCACAACAGACCTAGTTGAACTCCACTGGTGACGGCTTCTCACTAAAACTCCAGGAGTATCTCTTGAAGTCAGTAACTAGTGAGCAGATTATTATTATCAGAAGGGGTTTGTGGAGATTTTAGAAATTTCATGGGTTGAAATCATGAGTCAATTGAGGCTAGACGGTGGCGCAACTTCGTGGATTGGTTGAAGTTAGACATTAACACCGTTGAATGCCAGTCGGCTCAGTGGTCTAGTGGTTAAGCACGCGAGACTGATACGTTCTGGGTTCGAATCTCGCGTGAGGCGGGATCATGGATGCACACTGCTGAGGAGTCCCACAGTAGGATGAAACGGTCATCCAATGCTTCCATGTTCTCCATTGTGGTCTAGCTTCAATTGACTCATGATTTCAATCTGTGAAATTTCTAAAATCTCCACAAACCCCTTCTGAAAATAAAAGAGTCTTTAATACCTATATCCCTCTGTTAATGTTTACATCGAGACTTCAACCTCAAGTACAATTTCATTTCAAATATAAACGGGTTAGCCGCTCAGTCCAGATTACAACTAACTTGTTCAACAATTATGATGTTTGTATCATTATCGAGAAAATTTACTTGGTATTATTTGCTTGTATATTCCAATTGTCGTGTATGACTGCAGTTGATTAATCTCTTGTGGCGAGATTATAGACGAGCTAATCAGAAGCGTTTGAGGGATTTCTGGGTCACAATGCCAATCTCAGTACCTAATGCTCATGTACGATCGGTTCACAGCGAATTTCAGAGAAAACGTGATAATTGACCGACTACAATAAATGGGATTACTAAAAAGTTCCTTTGTTTGTGATTAAGGTCATCAAATGACTTGTGGACCTTGTACAGACTACCGTAATAATATTATCTTTCCATTTAATATGTGTTGGAGGAAGAAGTCTGCCAGAATATGATTTTTTTCGCTCGATCCAGATTGAGACTAAAGCAAATTATGACAATTGTTGCGAACTGGATAATAAAAGCACCAGTAACACTGGCTGCTACCGGTTACTACAATATATACGGTTGATTGGAAAGCGTACAGATAGCTACATAGACCTGTTTATGTGCATCTTATCGTTATCCACAAGTGGCATTTTGTGGATTCATTTACCGGAGTGCACACAAAAAATACTGACGTTATGTGGTCGAGGCTGGAAGTTTTTGAGGCTTTATCATAGCTCCAGAAGTCGACCATTATGGCGACATATAGATGATTTCCTCTACCTTATGAATTACGATTTTAGAACCTCTGAACCTCTTTCTAACCTTGACAAGTTTTCGAACAATGTATAAGAAGTGTATTCACTTTAATTCCTTGCTGTTTTATAATATATTTTTCCTCTATACTAATTGTTCTCTGATTGGTTTGTATTTCTTGAGGTCACCTAAGATTCGTTCAAAGGTCGTCCATAAATTATATTTTAGCCTCTCTTATTGGCATATGTACATCCTGTGCAGTCTACCTTGATATTACCATAAGTCACAAGCTTTATAAATACAGATAGATGGTGACTATCACTGAAATCCAGAATGCGCATTTCATTCTATTTGGAACACGTCAGCTGG